CTGTGGAACTTTACATTATCTCCATGATAGGTGAGGAAACTGAAGCACAGAGACATTATGACCTAATCCAAGATTGTACAGCTAGTCTGACTCAGTCATTTGTTCCCTGTCCTACTGACTCCTAAGCTCTGTGACCCCAAGGGTGGCCAGATAGATTCTGCCTTTTTAACACCACTCATTCAGTTGTTAACATTGGCAGTAATAGTGATTTCCAGCAAGAGAAACACTCACTGCAGGTCTCCACCTGCTTTCTTCTTCAGTCAGTGGTTCACTCAGGCAAGCTTGTCAGTCAGAGGAGACCCACCAACCTCTCCCCGACCGGGCATTCCAGAGGCACTGTAGGAAGGAGTGGGAGCTGCTGGGTCTGGGGCGGGCAAGGGGGCAGAGCACAATGTGTAGAGAAGAGATGACATGTCTGGGAAGAGCAGGTAAATTGATGGGCAGAAAAAAGCTGGAGAGAGGGCAAGAGACAGGAGAAGGTTTCTAATGGTAAATGCACACCTCCCCTGACCACCGCCTGATTTACCACAACACCGTCTTCTAGTGTACTTTATACTTTCTCATTTATCCCAAAAACTTCCATGAGTAAACTGGAAGCTCCTAAGGGGAGCTTTGTTCGAGTTCATTTCTGTTGCTCCACTGCATCCCCAGTACCTAGAACAGTCACTAGAAGCACATGGTAGACACTCATTCAGCAGACATTTGTTACACTGGCAAATGTGGGCCAGACTCTCGTGGAGTCTGGGATACAAAAAAAAAGGCTCAGTCTCTCAAAATGATCCACTTTTCATAGAAACCAAGCATGCAGCACATTAAAAAGTAGAGTAAGAGGAGTGTTTTGCATAGAGGTTGTGCTGACAGAAGGCTTCCACTGGGCCCACAGCCACAGGGAGGAACCATGGGGTTTCTTCTTTCCCTAAAAGGAAGGAAACGTAGACTGGGCAGCCAGTGCTGCAGCACCTGAACCTACCCCCTGCTGCCCCTCCCCAGCTGTCCATGCTGTTCACAGAGGAGTGCGACAAGGTTCGGGATCTGATGCACGTGCACTCCTTCAGCTACGACTTCCATCTGCGCCTCGTGCACCAGCACGTGCTGGGCTCCCACCTGGTCCTGCGGCATGGCTACCACCTGACTACCTTCCTACGGCACTTCCTGGCCCACCACCCTGATGGACCTCACTTTGGCCGCAATCACATTTACCAAGGTCGGTGCTGAAGGGTAAATTAATGACACCAGAAAAGCACAGGCCACAGGGTGTGCCCAGGCCAGGACTGGTGGGAGCATCTCCCGGGCAAGTCGTCTTGTATTGTTCAGCATTCATATCTCTCATGCCTTGTTTCAGTGCTTCTTTACTGTGACTGTCTCTGTGTTAAGTTCTTCACGGTCAGTTTCATATATAGTTAGGGCCTTATGTCATGTGTACCCTGCCCTCTGCTCTGAGTCCCCATCTCAGTACCCTTCTGAGGAGCTCCCCAAGAAGGCCGAGCTGCTCTATTAGTCAGCACCTTAGTGACTCCCAGCCCCCAGGATGGTGACTGTTCCATACTTAGTACCTACTGTTTCCTTTACCTTGCCCCTTAGGGACGTTGGAGCTCCCTACGCCACTCATTGCTGCCCACCAGCTATACAACTATGTGGCCGACCATGCCAGCTCTTACCACATGAAACCACTGCGCATGGCCCGCCCTGGGGGCCCAGAACACAATGAATATGCTCTGGTCTCAGCATGGCACAGGTAAGGTGGGGAAGGGGTCCAGCACACACTGGTGAGGCTGAGATGGGGGTCACACTTGCAATACAGAGACTCGTGTTTTCTTGAGCAGAAGGTATGGGGTTGATGTCATTAGAACCTCAGAACTAACATTTTCCCAACCCCTGCTGCACAGCTCTGGTTCCTATCTGGACTCCGAGGGACTTCGCCATCAGGATGATTTCGATGTGTCTCTGCTTGTCTGTCACTGTGCTGCACCCTTTGAGGAGCAAGGAGAAGCTGAGCGGCATGTTCTGCGGTTAGCAGATTCTCTACCCTGAACATACCCATTTCTCAGCCTTCTACCCTCACCTTGCATGTCTGCTGTTGTGACCCCCACACCTTGACTCCTCACACAGGCTGCAGTTCTTCGTGGTGCTCACTAGCCAACGAGAACTCTTCCCCAGACTCACTGCTGACATGCGCAGGTTCCGGAAGCCACCCAGACTGCCCCCTGAACCAGAGGCTTCTGGGAGCTTGGCTGGTAGTCCTGGGGAGGCCTCAAGCCTTGCGCTAACCCCTGGCCCAGCTCCCTTGTTCCCACCACTGGCAGCAGAGGTGGGCATGGCACGGGCACGGCTGGCTCAGCTGGTCCGGCTGGCTGGTGGGCACTGCCGTCGGGACACTCTCTGGAAACGCCTCTTCTTGCTGGAGCCACCGGGGCCTGACCGATTGAGGCTAGGGGGCCGCCTGGCCCTGGCAGAGCTAGAGGAGCTCCTCGAGGCAGTCCACGCCAAATCCATTGGGGACATTGACCCCCAGCTGGTAAGGGACTCTGGGCTCCAGTATGGGCCCAGATGCTGAAATTCCGTAGATAACCAGTGTGGGGGGAGCGGGGGGCTGGGTGACAGTCTCAGCTAACTCTGGCATGACAGATTCAGCCCTGTGGTCTTCTCCCAGGACTGCTTCCTGTCAATGACTGTTTCCTGGTACCAGAGCCTAATCAAGGTTCTCCTAAGCCGCTTTCCCCAGAGCTGCCGCCATTTCCAGAGCCCAGACCTGGGAACTCAATACTTGGTAAGTTCCCTGAACCTCTTCTAGAAAGGCAAAAGCAGAAATCTTCATCAGCAATGACAGATGTCCCCCTCTAAGGGCCCCAGCTTGACCAAACAAGCTTTGCCTTAGAGTGTAGCCTGAATAGAATGGAGCTGTACGGACACATGGGAAACCTTAGAGCACTAAGCACCACACCCCAGCATATGATTTGCTGAGAATGCATGAGAATGTTGCACTCAGGCTCACCGAGAACACATACTTTGGCTTAAGATCCTGGGGGCTGAGCTCTGGAACTTCATCTGTGGGTGGTCTCAGAGGTTAGAGTCCCAGAAGGGAGCTCTGGGCTTTATGCGTGGTTATTCAAAGTGTGATTCTTAGACCAGCAGTATTACTTGGGAGCTTGCTAAGATGCAGATACTCAGGCCCTGCCCTACACTAATAGATCTACAGGTTGGCAGTATCCTTGGGTGATCCATGTGCACAGTAAAGTTGGAAAAACAGCCATAAGGGATAGACAGAAGGAAAAGAGTTACAGTGGTGTGAGAGAATTAGTGATGAGACAGGCCCAGAGAAAGCTATTGTTCAGGAGAGTTGGCACACAAGAAAAGACTACAGGTAAGAGTTGGAGCCTGATGAGGGGCCGGGCAACACAGCGCTTGTGGGGAAGATTTGTTTCCAGTATATAAAGGATCATCTAGAGAACCGAGGTCTGTTAGGACAAGGTGGCAGTGGCCTGGGCAGTTAGGATGCTCCTGAACTATGAGAATGCTAGCAGGGGTGAGTTTGGAAGAATGGTGAGTTCAGTTTGGGACAAATTGATTCTAAGGCCCATGGGCATCTTCACTGTTCAGATACAGGAGTGTCAAGGACGGGAGCTCAGGAGAGAGGCAACAGCCATGTGAACAGGCACTGAAGCTTTGGGAGAATCAGGGACCAGTTCAGGGAGCTCAGAGTGGGGCTGTGCCAGTGGTGGAGAATCTCCCTTTGTTGACTGGTATCAGTGCTTGGCTCTGGGCAGGCTGACTAGCAAGCCAATAAAAACACAGACTAAGGCTCGATTTGGAGACAGCCTTCAGTGACCTGGGTGTTCATTGGAAAGAAGCCTTTGCTTGTCCTCCCATGTCTACCAGTTGCCCTGCAGGAAGGTCTGTGCCACCTCCGGTAGGGCAGACCTCATTCTCCACCCCATTTCCCTTGTCACTGCAGGTGGTGCTGAATCAGAAATTCACAGACTGTTTTGTGCTAGTGTTTTTGGACTCTCATTTGGGAAAAACGGTAAGAATAGAAACCTTTGTGTGAGGTTAGTGGGAGGCTGTAATCCACATCTCCACTTGAGAGCCTACTGGGTTAGGGTGCCCACTCTTCTTGAGCCCTGCTCTGTCCCCAGCCCTGGCCTTCTCTGACTACTGTACCTCACCATGTTCCCATAGTCGCTGACAGTGGTTTTCCGAGAGCCCTTTCCTGTGCAGCCTCAGGATAGTGAGAGCCCTCCTGCACAGCTGGTCTCCACCTACCACCACCTGGAGTCCGTAATCAACACAGCTTGTTTCACCCTCTGGACCCGCCTCCTCTGAGGAAGAGAACCACTGACTGTCATGGTGTGTTGAATCATGGATCTGTAACTGTCCACTTGTGGCAGAACTGACGTAGTTCCCGGTGAGCTTCAACAGTGGCTGATACCAAAGGCAGTGTGACTGTGCCTGGGGATGTGCTGCCACAGCCTGGCCAGAACTGACCAGCCCTCCAAACACTGACCAGCCCAGAGCTCCAGAGGTTTGGGTCAACTCTGAGAGGCCCATCCCTGCTCAGGCTCCTCAGCCCTTCCTGAAAGGGATGACTCCTTCCTGTTTACCTGGTGACATCCTGGGAGTTTATACCCAGTGGCAGGAACTCACCCCTTAAGCGCAACCTGAATTCTGACTTCCAGTGTTTGGTCACTGTCAGCCACATGCCCCCTCATCCTTCCAGCTTTCGTTCCCTCTTGGACATCACTGCTGGACATTCCCATTGAGATAAGAACTTTGATTCCAATCCCAGCATGTGTGACCAGCGTCGAGCCCTTTTACTCCTGGACCCTTGGTTCCTCTCTGTAAATAAGAAGGTTCAAATATTTTCCATCTCCATAGCAACCCTGGCACCAACCAGAAGACTGAGCATGAGCTATGTATTCCTTCTCAATGGCAGGAAAGCAGTCCAGAGACACTGAAGCATTAGACACTGTGTGTCCCCCACCCTACAACATACACATATGAAAGTCTTTAGCAAGTCTTTAATTCAAAAGAGATGCAGGTGCTCAGTCACTATCCCAGAAAGGCAGGTGTGTGATGTGCAGGACCTCACTGGCCGGCCCATGGGTGGCCCCGACTATCCCAGTATGAGCGGAGCCAACTCAGACCATCCACTGTGTCTCCTACAGGGAGAGGGAAGCAGTGGCATCTCCTCTCACATGGAGAAAAATAGCCCTGCCTCATGCTTTTCCCTCTAGAACCCTTTCCCAGGGCCATGCCTGGCGCTCACCTTGAGGCCGATACTCACAGCCCACAAAGCCTTGGTAGCCTTCATCTTCCAGCAGCTGGAATAGGTAGGGGAAGTTCAGCTCCCCAGGGCTGTCTGGTTCCCCTCGGCCTGGGACCTGAGCTATCTGCACATGCCCTGGGGACAGATGTGGGGAGACATGGGACCGGGCTCCTGAGGCCCGAGGGACAGTAGAGGCTTAAAGGGTGGGCAGCAGGCCAGAGAAAAAAGGGAGCCCCTCACCAACAATGGGCAAGAATTCCCGGATGTTTCCTGTCAGGTTTCCATCCATGATCTGCCAGTGGAATATGTCCTAGGGAAGAGAATACTACATCAGACCCCGCAGGGCCCCCCACCACTCTTCACAGATCTGGAGAAAATGGGCTAAGAAGTGCCCCTCTGTTGCACTCACCATCTGTAATTGGAGGTTGGGTCTTCCAACCTTCTGTAAGATGGCTGCAGCTGGGGAGAAGCCCAGAGGGGTTGTGAGACAAGAACACAAAAACTAACAGGGCAGGAGGCGGCTGGGAGCCTACCGTGCTGGGGCGTGTCCAGGAAGTACCGGGGGTCAGTGATTCGAGTGTTAATGGGCTCCAACAGTCCCACGAGGTTCTCCTGGCCCCATGTGGAACACTGTGAGTAAAGCTCCTCCCCAAGCTTGTCCCTCCTTAGTCACTGTCCAGCACCCTCGCCTGTCCTGCCCAGCCTTTTGCTTCATCTCTTCCCACTGTACACACCCACACACACATATGTGCCCACCTCTCACCTGAGCCAGAACCTCAGCTGCATGCTTCAGGTTTTCCAGAAAAACTGTCTCCATCTCACCCCTGACTGCTGCTCCATCAGCTCCCTGGGGTGCACGGCCAGCCATCAGGTGAATGCTATGGGGGAGAAGAGGCTGGAGGCCTCACCCTTGGCTCACCATGTGCTTCTGACCTGGCCCATCCTCCTGGTTCAGGGACCTCAGTCCGTTACTCATAAACTGCCCTTTCCCTTGGTCCTTCGCAGCATATAAGCATGCCTAAGTCTTGCATTTTAAACATATTTTGACCCTTGTCCTTGGGCATTCATTCCGTTCACCTTTTATCTGTTTCCTGGCCTCTTCCCTTGTGTTTTCTCCCCCATCAACTCACCATGCAAGTAATGAGCCCCTTGTCACAGTTTCTTCTCAGCAAATCTATTTGCCCTCTGCAGGATTTGACATTTATTTGCCCAGTCTTGCTTTGAAACTTATATGTCCGCCTATCACTTGACCTCACACGGCCACATCCCAAGCTCAAGCAGACTTTCCAGGAATCCAGAAATTTGGCTAAATACCCCAAGCTGTCCCTGCATCTGCACACGCACACACCCAGCCCGATACCCACTCTACTTCCTCCAAGCGTCTATAGCAGCTTTCTCTTATCCGGGTCGGGGCCTGCGCCACCCAAAGCCGCAGCCCCACCCCTGCAGCTCCCTAGTCGCAAGTAGATCGCAGACTGCTTTTGTTAGTGTGGCCCTGGTCAAACTGATCTCCATGGGGTCAGCATGAAATCCTGGGCAAACAACGATACGAACAGGTCTAACACAAAAGGCAGTTTCCAAAGGACCGGAGCCACAGGCGAGGCTGACGGCAAGTTTGCTCAGGCTCCTGCGCCTCCGAGCGGGCTGGCGCCCCCTTTGGACACTGTGTTCATTGTGGGGGAGCAGTAGGATACCTGGGGCAGCCCAGAGTCTTGGCGTACAGCACCGCCTTCTCCAGCCCCTCTCGGAAGGCCGCCTGTCTCCCGGGCACGGCCCCCAGCCCCATCTCCCCCTTCTCCTGGTCTCCTGCGGAGAGAACAGGCCTCACTCCCGGCTCCAGTTCCCGCGCCCTCACCCCCACGCTCATGCCCGGCCTGGCGCACCCGGCGGCGTGTTGATCAGCACCACCCGCAGCCTCGCGTCCCTCGCCGCCTGCGCCAGCGCCTCGGGCGGCTCTGCGTACGGCCAGGCCACCTCCGCGGCCTCGAAGCCCGCGCGGCCTGCAGCCCGCAGCCGCTCGGGAAGACCCGGGAGCTCGGGGAACAGCCAGGACACATTGGCCGAGAAGCGCAGCGGAGCCATGGCGCGGGCGGGAGGTGGGCAGAGTTCACGAGCGCAGGGTGGCGGAAGGGGCAGGACCGCGTGGCCGCCCTCCAGATAAAGGGGGCCGGTTCCGGGGTCGGGAAGCAGCGCGTGACTGAAACGGGCCTTTCTCCGCCGTCTCCCCCCCCCGCCCCCTGGAGAAAGGGCGGGCAGGTCGAAGACTGGGGAGGAGGGGAGCAGCGCGCGCCCTGGCGGGGAGCGGGATAGCCGGTTGGAGTGAAAGAAAGTGGGCTGCTGTACTTAGCATTTCCCTGAGTTGTAAAGACGCAGTGGATGTAAGTCAGTGGCAGTGTCTGCCTAGCAGATGCAGAATCTGGGGCTCAGGTCCCAGCGCTGCAGTGGCAGGGATCATAAAAAGATCGCATATTTACGCAACAATTGGAAACTGATCAAAGAGCTTGTATACCACCAACTAGCCCGTTAACCTTTCCGTACAGATTATAAAATAAACGTGCAAAGTTTTTGAAAATTCTCATCAATATTATGTTTAGTTTTATAGACATTTTCCCTAAGTAATATTTTGTGGGCACTTCCCAGTGTTCTTCACGTCTTCCACGTCATTGTGTTGCACCTTGTCAGACACCTGGACAGCCCATTATGTGCATCAACCTGCTCCGTGGCTACAATGTTTGCCCTTTGCAGGGGAAACTGCCCCATCACTGGTTTCTGCACTGAGATGCTATGGGCTGCTGTCCTTTCTTAGTCTTAGCTCACTGACCCACGGAAGGACATCTGATCCAGAATAGCCAACCCATAGATTTGCCAAAGACCTTTTACTTGCATGGTTTGGAAAAATAACCTGACCGATCAGATTCTCCTGTCAAGAGCTCTGACAAGGAAATGCTGAGAGTGAAATTGAAAGGTGGGCTTCTCAGGAGATGACTGGGACTGTAGACTCAATAGGCAGGGATTAGCTAGTAAGGGAAACCTAGGGCTGAGGACAGTGTGACAGTGCTGTGGGTAGAGGCAGTAGCTGATGACACATGCTGTCTGAGGGACTGCCCAAGCCCACAGCTGCTGGCAGGTTTGTGCACCTCCCAAGGCTGGAATGTTTCCACTTTCCTGGGTTTCCACATCTGTACACACAGCTTCGTGATGTTTCTTGTGATAATTTGAATTTCACCTACAGTAATTCAACTAGGCAGATTTTTACAGGTAGAATTACATGGCTGAAAAATAATGTGTTAAATTCTTCGTGGATATGCTAACTTGCTTTTCAAAAATGTAAATTTATACTCAGACCCATGAGTTGAAAACTGATTTATTTTCTGAGTTAATGTTGACAGAAGATCAAGATGCACCCAGCATTTCTCTTCCACCATTTGTTCTGTCACTGTTCACCTTCCCCAATCAGAGCTACTTTGGCATGGTGGGCCACACCTGTAATCCCATCGCTTAGCAAACCGAGGCAGGAGGATTGCCACAAATTCGAGGCCAAGCCTGTACTACACAGTAAGGTCAAGGCCAGCCTGAACTACATAGCATCACCCTGTCTCAAAACAAAACGAAGCCAGGTCCACTCAAATACCTACTCCAACCTCATCCTGCAGTTAATCCAAGTGGTTGGCAGGTTCCATTTCTTGAGCTCTATTTCCAAGGACAGACTTCCAACAACTAATAGTGATCAGCTGATTTCTTGCCCATTTGGCCTTACACTAGGACCTTTGCCTTGTCCTGGAAATGTTTCTTGAATCAAGTCCAATCAGGATGTGACCTCACTAAGTTTAGCATTTAGTCAATCCCTACTTCAGCAGGTTTATAATCCAAAATTGACAACCCAGAGTGACATCTAAGTCCCTGACTATGCAAACTCTTTTAGGGCATTAGTAACACCATATCTTGTGGAACAAAAAGTGTCCACAGTGGTCTCCCTTTTTTCTTGTATAATATATCCTTTAAGGCAGCAGAGATGGTATACAAACTATGTGAGCACAACCTTTTCTCTTAATTCCTGTATAATACCTTTATATAATATACTAAATTAAATACATAAGGAGTACAGTGTCCATTAAAGTTATTTTATTTTATTTTATTTATTTTTTTGGTGCCAGGGATTGAACTCACAACCTCGCATTTGCCAAGCAGGCACTTACGCCGCTGAGCTAAACCCCCAGCCCTAAAATTATTTTAAAAGGAGACTTTTATGGGCAAATAAATACAACTTGAGACGATCTTCATTAGCAAAATAAATAAGACACATATGTACACATCTTATGTATCAGTGTGAGAAGCTGAAATAATATGTATATGTGTATGTATATGTATATAATAAAATAGTTAAGATAGTTATAAAAAATAAAATTATTTTTCCCTTGAGTCGTGTGTGTGTGTGTGTGTGTGTGTGTGTAGGTGTGTAACCATGCTAGGAATTGAACCCAGGGCATTATGCATGCCAAACCATATACTCTACCACTGTGCTACACCCGCAGCCTGAAAATTATTTTCTGTGTCATTTTGTTGTCTATACCCCTGCCATTTTGCAATATAGAGATGGCAGTAAGTTATTATTGCAAATGTTGATTCTTTGCAGTTCACTTTTGTCCAAAAAATTCAGACAGGTTTGATGTTTAGTTAAGGTACCAACAATCTGTAAGTAGTTGCATGGATGTAAGCTAAAACTCTTTTTTGATACCAGGGGTTGAACTCAGGACCTTTCACTTGCCAGGCAGGCACTTGTGCCGCTGAGCTAAACCCCAACAGCTAAAATTTAAATATAGAGTTCAGAATCTCACTTGATCACTGGGTAGCACTTGCCAATATAGTAAAACATTACAATTCATGTTTAAAATACAAATCAAAACCTCCAAATGCCATTTAATCCCTTCCAGATTAGCAAAAATGAAAAAATCAGCTCACATCAAATATTGAATATTGAATATTAGAACAACTGGAACCTTTACTCAGTATTGGTAGGAAAGTAAATTGCTACATACACCTTGGAAAACAAATTGGCTGATATGACTTTGACCCAACACTTCCATTTCCAGGTGTACTCTGGGAAGATTTTGCACAACTGTGCCAGGAACAAGCTGAGTGATAGTCATAGAAGCTCTATTGATGAGGCAAAAAGATAGAACTACCCCGGATGCTCATCAAGACATTTAGATGAGTTGTCATATAGTCATACGATGTTGTACAGGAAAGTGAAGGGGAAGCTGGTGTCAAATAATAACTTTGAGTTTGTTCTTATGTTGGGACAACGTATGAAGAGCTTAGTGAGTTTTGGTTCAAACTGAAAACATCAGTATAAAGTCATCAGATGGATAAACTTCAGAGCATAATCCTTTTGTTTTGTTTTGTTTTTCATTTTGAGACAGTGTCTAACTATGTAGTCCAGTGACTTTAAACTCACTGTGGAGCCCAGGCTAGCCTCCAATTTATGGTGATCCTCCTGCCTCAGCCTCCCACGTGCTAAGATTACAGGCACGCACCATCACACTCTGCCAGACCATTATCCTGAGAGACATACATATATATGTGACTCCATTTATATGAATTCAGAGGCAGGAAAAAGAATATTTGTGTAGGGATACAAGCATCTGTGGTAAAACAGTAAGACAAAGTGAACAGTGATCACAAAATTCAGCATGATGGTAACCGCCTGAGAAGGAGACAATGGGTGGCACTGGAGACCTGGAGAGTCATTGCACCCCCTCTTTTCTACTGGACAGTGCAGCCATGTATGTATCACTCTTATTTATAGTTTATGTATGTTTTATAGATCTCAATTGTGTATATCAGTTTCATATTTAATAAAAACAAAAATTTTAGAGCTTCGGTATGTAGTACCACCACCTATGAGCACCTTTTATATTAACATTCTCATTATAGTTGGATTATAACTACTGATTTTTAAATTATCACTGCTCAATATAGAGGTCTTTTATTGTATTATCTGTAGTAGGCAGCCTGTAGAAATGGTCCCCAGTGGTCTCTGCCTCTTGGTACTTATGCTTCCAGCCGAGTACTCCTCTCCCCTGGCATGTGCAACTCACTTTGAACAAATAAAATGGGGTAAAAGTGCTATAACGGAACCTCAGAGATTAGTTTACAAAAAGACTGGCTTCTGTCTTGAGTGCTGTGTCTCTTACCCGCTCGCTCTGAGGGAAACCAGAGCTGGTTTATAAACCGTCCTATAGAAAATATACATGTTGGGGAATTGACGTTTTTAGTAATCACGGACTAAATGTGCGCCGCCATTCATATGGTGAAATTCTAATCTCCAAGGGTTAGAATGTCGGCCTTTAAGACATAGTTAACTTTAGATGAAATCCGTAAGAGTCAGGCCCATTATGGAATTAGTGCAAGAAGAAGAGGAGGGGGAGGGGAGGGGGAGGGGGAAGGAGCAGTGGGGGGGAGGAGAAGGAGAAGAAAAAGAAGAAGAGGGGGAGGAGGAGGGGAGGAGGAGGGGAGGGGGAGGGAGGGGGAGGCGGGGAGGGGAAGGAGGAGGAGGAGGGAAGGAGGAGGGAGGGGGAGGAGGGAAAGGGGAGGGAGGGGGAGGAGGGAAAGGGGAGGGAGGGGGAGGGGAGGGGGAGGTGGAGGAGGAGGAGGAGATGATGATACCCGGTCTTCCTCTTCCTCTCTGTTTCCTCCGTGGAGCAACACTGCAAGGAGGCAGCTGTCTGAAAGCAGAAAGAGAATCTTCACCGGGACAGATCTGCTGACACACCTCTGAGTTCCCAGCCTCCAGAACTGTAAGAAATAAACGTCAGCCAGGCTATGGAATTTCGTTATGACAACCCTTCTTAGTCAGCATTCCATTACTCTTAACAAATGCCTGAGATGCCTAGTTTATAAAGAGAAAACGTTTATTTCGGTTCATGGTTTCAGAGGTTGAATTAGGTCCATGATTCATCAGCCTTGTTGCCTTGGGCCTTTGGCAGAGCAGCACATCATGGCAGGAGCACGTAATGGCTCAAAACTGCTCACCATGGTAGGCAGGGAGTGAAACAGAGGGAGAGAAAGGCACTGAGATCCAGCAAATCCCTTTAAAATCACACACCCACAATAATATGATAACCTCCCACTAGGCCTCACCTCTTAAAGGTTTTGCCATTTCCCGATATTGCCGAGCTGAGGAGAAACTTTTAGCACATGGACCTTTGGCAGACACTTAAGAGTCAAGATGACTAATACACTGGCCAACAGCAGGCAAGGACCAGAGGCCTGCCACAGTCACAAGTGAGTTTAGGAGCAGATCATCCCCCAAGTGAGCCTTCAATGACTGTGCCCCAAACCAGGCATAGTGACACATGCCTGTAATCCCAGCACACTAGGAGGCTGAGACAGGAGAACTGCTAGTTGAAGCCCATCCTGGACAACTTAGTGACTTAGATCCTGTCTCTCAAAATAAAAAATAAAACAGGGTAGGGGTGTAGCT